GTAATATTCTATTGTGTATGTATATTACATCTTCTTTATCCATTCACCTATGGATGGACACTTGGGTTGCTTCTATATCTTGGCCATTGTAAATAATGCTTCAGTAAACATAGAGGTGCATATGTCATTTCATTAGTATTTTGTTTTCTTTGGGTAAATACGCAGTAATGGAATTATATGGTATTTCTGTTTTCCATGGATCATATGGTAATTCTATTTTCCATACTGTTTTCCACAGTGGCTGCATCAATTTGCATTTCCACCAGTAGTGCACAAGGGTTCCTGTTTCTTCACATCCTCACCAATACTTATTTCTTGGTGGTTTGTTTTTGTTGTTTTGTTTTGTTTTTTTATTCTAGCCATTCTCACTGGTGTAAGGTGATATCTCATTGTGGCTTTGATTTGTCTTTCCCTGATGATTAGTGATGTTGAACATCTTTTCATGTGTCTGTTGGCCATCTGTATGTCTTTGGAAAAGTCTATTCAGGTCCTCTGCCCATATATTATTTTGGTGTTGTATAAATTCTTTATGTATTTTAGATATTAACTCTATCAAATATATCATTTGCAGATGTCTTCTCTAATTTAGGAGGTTGCCTTTTCCTTTTGTTGATGACTTTCTTTGCTGTATTAAAACTTTTTATTTTGCTCTAGTCCTAATAGCTTAATTTTGGTTTTGTTTCTCTTGCCTGAGAAGGTATAGCTACAAAAATGTTCCTACAGCTCATGTCCAAAAATTACTACCTATGTTTTCTTCTAGGAGTTTTATGGTTTCGGGTCTCACATTTAGATCTTTAATCCATTTTGAGTTTATTTTTGTGTATGGTGTAGGAAAGTGGTCGTTTTATTTTTTGCATGTAGCTGTCCAGCTTTCCCAGCACTATTTGTTGAAGAGACTGTCTTTTCCCCAGTGTATGTTTTTCCCTCATTTGTTGTAGATTAATTGACCATATAAGCATGGGTGTATTTCTAGGTTCTTCGGACTGTTCCATTGATCTATGTGTCGATTTTTATGCCAGTACCATACTGTTTTGAATACTACAGCTTTGTAATGTATCTTGAAATCTGGGATTATGGTACCTCCAAGCTTTGTTCTTTCTCAAGATTGCTTTGGCTCTTTGGGATCTTTCATGGTTCCATACAAATTTTAGGATTATTTGTTCTAGTTTTGTAAAAATTGCTGTTGGTATTTTGATAGGGATTGCATTGAATTCATAGATTGCTTTGGGCAGTATGGACGTCTTAACAGTATTGGTTTTTCCAATCCGTGAGCCTAGAATATCTTTCCATTTGTTTGCGTCATATTCAGCTTCTTTCATCAGTGTTTTATAATTTTCAGAGTGCAGTTTATTCCTAGACATTTTATTCTTTTCGGTACAATTATAAATGGGATTGTTTTGTTAATTTCTCTTTCTCCTTCTTTATTATCAGTATAGAGAACTTCAGCCTATTTCATTTTATATTGACTTTGTATCTTACAACTTTACTGAATTCATTTATCAGTGCTAGTAGTTTTTTTTGTGGAGTCTTTAGGGTTTTCCATATATACTGTAAGGTCAACTGCAAATAGTGACAAGCTTACTTCTTCCTTATGAATTTGGATGCCTTGTAATGTCTGATTGCTGTGGCTAATACTATGTTGAATAGAAGTGATGAGAGTGGATGAGAGTGGACATCTTTGTCATGTTTCTGATCTTAGAGGAAAAGCTCTCAGTTTTTCACCATTGCATATGATGTTAGCTGTGGGTTTTTTATACACAACCTTTATTATGTTGAGGTATGTTCCCTTTAAACCTACTTTTTTGAGAGATTTTATCATGAATGGATGTTGTATTTTGTCAAATGCTTTTTCTCCATCTTTGAAAGATCATATGGTTTTTATTCTTTTTTCTTGTTAATGTAGTTATGTTGATTGATTTGTGGATATTGAACCACCCTTGCATCCCAAGGATAAATCCTACTTGATTGCGGCAAATGATTTTTTTAATGTATTGTTGGATTTGGTTTGCTAATATTTTGTTGTGAATTTTTGCTTCTGTTTTCGTCAGACACTGGCCTGTAGTTTTCTTTACCTTCTTTTTTTTTTTTTGTAGTTTATTTCTCTGATTTTGGTATCAGGGTAATGCTAGCCTTGTAGAATGAATTTGGAAGCTTTCCTTCCTCTTCTATTTTTTGGAGTAGTTTGAGAAAAATGGGTTGTAACTCTTCTTTATATATTTGGTAGAATTCACCTGTGAAGCCATCTGGTTCTGGACTTTTGTTGTTTAAGATTTTATTTATTAGAGAGAGAGAGAGAGAGCACACGAACAGGGGAGGGGCAGAGGGAGAGGGAGAAGCAGACTCCATGCTGGGATCATGACCTGAGCTGAAGACGCTTAACCAACTGAACCACCCAGGCGCTCCTTGGGACTTATTGGGAGTTTTTTGATTACTGATTCCGTTTCATTGTTAGTAATTGGTCTGTTCAAATTTTCCATTTTTTCCTCATTCCATTTTGGAAGGCTATATGTTTCTGCA